ACAGCAAGCTCACAAAGCAGTTTATCATTTCTGCAGTACTTGTGTGATCAGCACATAGGCTTCTGCACAGGTGAGAACTGTGGGGTGTTAAAGATGGAAGGGTCCATTGCCTAGTGCATCAGGGAAGTGCAAAATTCTCTTGAAACAAGTAGGCTGTGTGTGCGCAGAGTTGTGCCTGATGCTGACACGCTGGTGTCATCAGTGCACCAGGAAATTGTTCTGTAATGGAACTGATTCATTAGCTTTGATAGACCCAACAATGCAGTCCTGAGAGGCTGAAAGCAAAACCGGGAGTATTGAAAACTTTCAGTTGCACATTAGCATGTAGACTGAGTAACTGACTGAAATGATGATAAAGGGAAATACCTTAAAAACACAGAAGCATCAGTTCAGGGGAAATGGTTACTACATTTACTGGTAAAAGACTCCTGAGCTACGTGCAGTTGTAATTTGTGTCAATCCTTGTAATAAGTAAATTGAGGTTTATGGTGAAAACGTGCTGTTAACATCTGCAGCCATGCTTAAGGCTGTCAAGGCATAGCCTGGGCATTGTGTCCGGGAATAGGAGTCTACCAGAAAAAAATGAGTGCGTCATAAAGATATGATACGTGTTTCTTGCTCCAGTGTAAGCAGGGATTAACCATTGTAAAATGGGAGAATAACCAATTTGGGGGTATGGTTACATCACTTGTGGATGATTATTAAAGCTTTGTATAACTTTCCATGTGAAACATAGGAATGCTGGGTATAAGCAGAGACTACTGGTTAGGATGTATTATGTTAGGGCAGCTTTTGGGGGGATTGGGATGCTGAAGTGTTTTGGTTTCTTGTGTCCTGAAATACCGGTGTAGTTTCCTTCCTTCCACTGTTTGGATGGGGGAACAGAGACTTCATCAGTGTCCAAGAAAGCCCAATTTCTGTCTAGAATCATTTTCCCAAGTGAGTACTTCTTGGAGAGCTCTGGTGACAGTAAGGGCTGGGTTAGTGCTTCCTGTTACAAAAAGGGAAGGAGGGCTTCGGTGTGCTAACCGGTCCGTTGTCAGTGATGCAGACCTGCTGGCTAGGGGATTATCAAGGTATGCATCTTGTAGGGGAAGACATGTCAGCTGTAAAAGAAAACAACCTTGGAACCTGCCTGAGAGGAGGCTGGAGTTTCGGAGTTACTTGAGGTCAACCTAATAGCAGGGTGAAGCCAGAAAGGAGCATTCCATCAGTTCCCCTCACTCCAGCTGTATTTCCCACCTCCCTTTTGTAATGGTACAACACTGTGTAGCCACAGAGGGGGACTGAGCAGGGAACTGATTCAATGCAACAGAATTTAAGAGGGGAAAGGTGGGATATGTTTTTTCACAGGAGGCTGGGATTCCCATTGTGACTCCCTGCACAGTGGTGGCATGGGGTGACAGAAGCAGGAAGAACAGGGATGGCTCCTGGGGAGCCTGAAAGAGACTGGAAATACTGGCATTAAAGGAAGCCAGATGCAGTTCAAGTTGATGGTGGATAGCAGATTGACCCTCCTAGTGTTAGGTATTTTTATATATGTGCTACATGAAAGAAACCTTTTAACGTCTGTTTTCTAAGGATTGCTTTTAATGACTCCTGCACTTCAGAGCGTAAGCCCTTCTTTCCTCCTCTCTTCCCAGTGCCTCCCTCCCACCCTCAATAACTTCCTTGGAATGGGTCAAAGCAGAAACCCTGGAGAGACTTCTTTAGTTACCTGTGGCTTAAGCAGTGTGAACGGTGTCTGCCCAAAATCGATGGGACTTTGGGGCAAGGGGCAAGATAATCCTCCTGCTTGTTCTCTCTCAAAATGTCCTCCAAATAGTGACTCACTTTTGCAGGGGCGATTGAGTAGTGGCTATTTTTGGCCAGAAAGTTTATTAACTGCTGTTGAATCAGTGGAACTAAAGCTTTCCAGGCTTTGAATCCTCTCTGTACTCAGGTCAGCACTGCACTGCCTCTGAGCCCTGGCTTCTGTTTGCTTTTCATTGGGGTCTTTTTGATTTTAAAGATGTGGGGAATTATACCAGGAAATGGGTCTCCTATTTTTGTTACACCCTAAAGGATTCTCTACTGCCCTTCTTTCTGTATAGCATTACATCTCCTTTTACTCAAGATCTACTTAGAGAGTGGTTGCAAGACTTGAGTGTACTCAGGTTTGAAACCTCAAAACTAATGGTATTTACCCTTTAATATGTGCTTGCTTGCAGAAATGATGCATTGGCCACATCAGATTTTTACAAAAATTGGGATATCTCATGAGATTAAGTCTCAAAAGTCTGAAAAGTTTGCCATTAATGCCTGTGGGTTGTAATCCTGTATCTGTTACTAGGTGTAAGTAAATGAAACTTGCATTGAAAATGGTTGAGATGAAGTGAGGAAGAAAATTTTCCATATAGTTTTGATTTGGGGTTTATTAACCACAGTGTAGCTTGAGGATTTTAGTGTCTCAGTTTACATCAGATCTTGTATATGGGGCTGGATATCTGCAGTTCCTCAGCTGGAATTCAGCTTACTGTATCAGTTGTTCATAAATGCTAAGGCACGGTTTTGAGCCCTCAGTGCCAAAGAGTTCAGTGTAGTTGTATGCTGGCATTTCTCCTTGGTGATGCCTGTACCCGAGATGTCACGTAAGGTGTTACACAGTAAGAAATTACTAGACCTGTCCCAGCTGGAATTCTAAAAGCAATGGGAAGGTGCTTGTAGTAAATGTGTTGTGGCACTAGCATCAATCGAGCCGTGGGGGCAAAATGGTTATTCATCACTTGCTACTTGCCTCTTTTCTTCATAATAGCAGGAAATATATGCTAGTATGAAACAGGATTTATTTTCAGTCAGTTCTTCTTCTTTCTTGTCTTTAAATGTGGAAGTGTAGGTCTTTAAAAGTCGATCTTTCCACTTGTAAAGTTGCTCACTAGCACCCTGTATTGCAAAAGAAAGCGTTCGATTCTTTGGTCTCCTGAAATTCCTCCTTCCTTCATGATCTGTGTTTGCTTTGCTTTGCTTTCAATGTGTGCTTCCTTTTTAAATATAGTTTTCCAAGTTGCTGGCCGTACCAGATTGTTTATATTTTTTAAAAGCCTTCTGCTTAGCCGTTATATTGCTCTTTATAGTACTGCTTAACCACATTGGTTTCTGTTGCTCTTTTTTCTTGCATAAACTTAGCTGGGATGAATTTCAAATGTGGTTTATCCAACTGTTAAGTATTTCCCACTTTTCTGCAATAGATTTCACATATGTTACAGAATTCCAAACCAAGATCTGGTGGACATATTGCCCTGTTTTTTAACTCCAAGTCAGAAGTAGAGGGTTTTTTAAGCATTACAGTGACAATATTTAGGTCACTGGCTCCAGTGTGCTGCCTAGCTTCAAATCTGTTTGTCATATTGAGCTTATTTCCAAGGATTAAGATAGCACAGTCCATATATTAAAATAAATAAATTAAAAAACCTCTTAGTTTTGTGGTAATAAACCTAAAGATGGAGAAAGTATTGACCCTTTTGAGTTGGAAATTGCAGAAGGCTTTTTTCCCTGTGGGTACCTGCTGCTATTCCTAACACATCTGCACACATAGGAAGAGGCAAATCTTTGGTTTTCTCATTTTGCTTCCCCACATGGGTGCCCATTTCCACTGGGAAACATGTATGATCCAATGCACAGGAAGTTTTTATGCTAACCATTTAGTCGTAACCACATCCACTTTGCTTTTACTATGGTCTTTCTGTGTGGTGGTAGCAAGAGATGCCTTGGTCAGTGACTTGATTGACTGTTGGGGGTCTGGAATCAGACCCCACAAGAGGTTCCAGGCTTGGCTTCTCAGTCTATTCCATTACAGGATATTGGGTTACGAACAAACTCCAGTGGTGCAGCAGGTTTTCTGGTGAAGAATCTCAGGGTCAGAGGCATGTTGGCAGAGTGGTGTGATGAAGGTAGCCGCAGAGGAGACCTGCCTCGTGTTGTTCTTGCTTTTTGTGAGCTTCATTCACATAGCCGGGTTTTTCTCCTTTCAAATGAATAATGGAGGAAAACAGTGCCAAATTCCTTTTACAGATTCTTGGTTATAACTCCAAGTGACCTGGGGAATGATGTACACAGCTGAGCTTTGCCTTTATTTTTTTTCATGTTACGTGGAAGTACTGCAGAAAAGGAATAAACTGACATGGAAGATTGAGTATTGTTGGTTTATGGGCTGAGAAGTGACCCATTCAATCTCTTAATGGTGACATTTGGAAGCACAGCACTGAGTAAAGTAACTGGGATGGGGATAACGCACTTGGGTGGAGCTGGGCATCGCTCTGTAGGCTGAGCCTGTACTTCAGCCTAGTAGAAACTGTTGGAAGATAATCTGGCATTATCAGATGATGAAAATCAAGATAGTTTTGGGGAAGGAAACGGAGACTTGCTAGTAATTTTAGAGGAACAGATTCCCATAGTATGAAAGGCTAATTTCGTGTTCAAATAAAGACTTAAATTGGAACAGAGCATCACAGTGGTGGTGTAGAATTCTACACTGTGTCACTTGAAATTAAGAGTGACTGAAGCATAACCACTCTAGGCTGAAGTATAAGGTTAACAAATATTTGAGTTAATCATAATATTTGTTCATAGAGGAACTCAAAAAGGGAAAATCCAGTTTCTTTACAAAGCAGGCAGGTGAAAACGAACCTGGCTGGAATGTGGTTTAAGATCCAGATTTGGGAATTCATTAGGAGGTGCGTATTGCATGCCACTGCTGCTGTCCTGTATACTGCTGTGGTTAAAGACATGAATGGTTTTGAGAAAAACGGTGATATTTGGGTTGTAAGATGAGTTGTAGAACCTCATTTGATGTTATTCACGACGTCTAGTTTCTGGAAGCTTGGTGCTTTGTTCTGTACCAGTAGTCCAGCCGTCTTGATGTTCCAGATGCTGTGGTGTACGTATGAGCTTTTGTTTTTATTTCTCTGAGAAACAGAGCTCTGACCATCGTCCCTTTGTGTTGTTGTTGTTTTTCTTGACAGAGGGAGCTCGATGCCACAGCAACAATATTGGCAAACCGGCAAGATGAAAGTGAGCAGTCGAGGAAAAAACTTATTGAGCAAAGTCGCGAGTTCAAGAAGAACACTCCAGAGGTAAGGAGGAAAGCTGTTCCAGTCTGTCAAGTTTATTGCAGTAGTATATGGTATTGGGCCTATGTAAGTGTGTTTTTCCTTTAATGGTTTGTTTCCATGATTTTCTTCTATGTATTGCCAAGTCCACCATCCTAAGACTGCTTATCTTTGATGGTTTTCTCGTCAGGGAGCTTTTGCGTTCTGTAAATAATGGATATGAATTGATGTTTTTAGAGGAACCATGAACATTAGCTTCCAGCAGGCTTGCTCTGTATTTTCTGTAGTATAAAATCTGGAGAATTACAAAAAAAAAATAAATTACTCTTCACTAGCCCAAACTCTCTTAGCACTTGGATGTAGAAAGTGACATTTCGCTGCCTAAATAAATCTGTATCAAGGGCATAACTTCAAAGATGCTCATTTTTCCATCAAAAATCAGATTAAGTTATGCTGTTGACTTCACTGGAGATGCAGCAAGGTCAGTGCTTGAGCTCGTCAGCCACTCCACACACTCACTGACAGGCAGTGAGTTGAAGGTGTCAGGACCAGTGCTAGGCAACCCCAGAAGGGTGACTGTTATGTGTAGGAAGCTCTTCCATGCTCATGTTAGCATGTGCAGTGTGTCAGTGTACATGTATGCACAGTTACCCCAAAAGTACATATAAACTCATTTTGTTAAGTGATGAATGTGTAGTAGTGTGTAGGGCTGTTTGTTTTGTGTTTTTTTTCCCCCTGATGATTGCCAGCAATCTGTTCATCCAGGAATGTTCCTGGGTTTCAAAGCCCGTTCCAGATAACCAACACACAAGTATCGGTTCCTTCCAAGTACCTTCTTGGGAAGGAAGCAGCAGGCAACTCTTCTAACCTTTATTGCTCCTTCTCAAGTAGGGGATGCTGCTTTGCTTCCTGTTGGGACAGTAGGAATGATGCTGGAGGTTCATACCCAGAGAAATGGAAGGGAATGCCAGAGCAGGAGAGACTTCTGGGGAAGGGGAGTTTTGAACTGATGTGCTCAGGCGGCTTTGTCCTTGAGGTGGACAGAAAGGCCTAGTGAGCCACAGGGATTTCTAAACTGATACATTTATGCTACTGAAACATCAAATGTGCTGTTTTTAAGAACAACGAGTTTAACTTGCATAAGAAACCATTCCTCAGATAAGTGAGTAACGCAGTGTACAGCTGAATTCAGATTTCCACAGTGAACTAACAGCTTTATTGGTATAAAAAAACCTCAAACCCACAAAGATGGAATTGTTAAATGTAACAATTTGTTTCACGATTCCACTCTCCTTTTTCCTTCTTCATTTATCCCTGTCAGTGCAATAGTGGTTTAGCCTCATCCAGCATCTCTTTTTCTCTGCTGTAGCCAGTCTCACCATAAATCAGGAGAAGTGTCAATTGCCTTGACTTTCCTATCCATTGCTGTCTGGGATGTCCTTTATACTTTCCATAGTGTCTGCTTGAAAGCAACATGCTGTGTAGCAGAAAGGGATTAGGAAAATTAGTAATGAAGTTGAGGATCCTTTTATTTCTTTTTACTTTAAAAAATGTGACAACTCTATTTGGGTCATTTCTGCCTTCCTTGCAAATTACCACACTGCTGCAGAAGAAATACAATATTTTCATGTTTATAGGAATGACTCCAGGGCTTTTGGTATTTAAAAATGTTAGAATACTATTTCTGACTTGGCATACAGGGAGATGACGCTGGGAAGAAGCATCTCATATTTGGGAACCTTGTGAGAGCAGAACACTCAGTGGTGGATGTTACATGCAGAAACCTTTAGAAATGGCTCTTAATTCCTGTTACTGCAAAAGTCCTTTTTACCTCCTCGCACCTTTTAAGAGGTCACGTCAGACCTGCTGCCCAGCGTTGTCCTGGGGTATTTTCAGTCTCTGTTTCATCCTGAGCAGCTACTGTGGAAAGGCTGAGCCTGGTCAGGAGATTACTTGAAACATCAATTTTACATGACTGCTACTTGGAGGATATCTCAAAATAGATCGTGTGAATTGCCACCCTGCATCAGATGATTATTTTCTTACAGTGATAAGTCCTGTGCTACTGTGACTAACTGTGATGCTCTGGGGGTATTTTAACCTCTGCATTTCTTGGTCTAATTCATTGTGTCAATTCTGGTGTGGATAAGCAAATGTTTGAATGAGCATCTCTGAGAAATCTTTTCCCCTCTAAATTATTTCAGTGGCACAGGTCATAATTTTTGTCACAAAGTGAAGATACTTCCCAATGCTGATAACTTTACCTTTGCTTCTACCCAGATTCACTTGAGTAACTGCTTTTTGCTTACCTGTTTCTGTTCTAAACATTGAAAAGCTTATCTAATATTTTCATTATTATTGTTATTATTATTTTAAGCTATTCCACAGCAACAGTGAAAAATACCTGTAAACAAGTAACTGAGTAAGCCTAGACTTTGTGAATCTGTGATATCTAATTGTTAAATACTCATGGGAAGACAACAGTACTTCAGCCTGCTTAGCCTGTAACTCTCCATTGCTTTCCTTTAGGATTCACCACATAAACTAGATGGTGCTGAGCTATGTTGGTTATTGCCAGGCTCACCTGAGCTGTGGGTCATGAAACTGAGCACAAGAGAAAGGACCAGCTCTTGGGAAATAAAACAATCCTGATTTTCTAATATGAGCATGAGCTATAAAAACTGAGGCAGATGTGAGGCCCTTGCATTAAAGCATCTATTTGGGTACAGGAGCTTACCCTGTGAGCTGGTTCCTCTGGTCACTGTGTTTTTCCTGATGGGAAGTTGAACTGATGATTCCTCCCTGTTGTTGCCCTCTACAGTTTCTATGCCGCAGATGTACTGTATTGGTGAGATTTAGGAAGTCAAGATTACCTTTAACTGCTCAAACTGGCATTTGTAGGGACATGGGAGAACCTTTAAGGGTAGACAACATAAATATGTTCTCAACTGAGTAGCTTTAAAATGCTCTGGAAAATGGACTATTGGAACGTGACAGAAAGCAAATTAAAAGAGTGTATGAAGAGCGTATCTCAACAGTGACTGGATGGATGTGCAGCCTGCTGACCCCAAGCACTTCGTATGAAGAAATACAGGTTCTGCAGTATGAGTGATGTTGCTGTGGTGGCTGTTCCCATGAGTTCATGCCCGTGTGGTCATAGAAGCTGGTATGGCCACTTTCAATGTATTTACATTGTTTGTATTATTCTACATCATCAGTTCTGTGCTGCCTTGGTTGATCTCTAATGAGCGGTGTTCACCTGCCTGCATAAAACCTGGCTTGCATTGCTACCTGAGCTACCATCATCATCCCCATGCCTCTATGTTTCTGTAGTACCACAACCACAAAAGATCAAGATGTGTCTGTAGAATCTTGTTACAAAAGGAATAGTTTTATTCCTGACATTGCATATTAGGGTGATGTGCATTTTTAAGGTCCGTGATCTTTTCACAAGAATAACATTATAATTGCAAGTCACAACTCAGGAAAGGGAAAGAACACAGTTACTGTGCCAGGGCTCAGAGTTTTAGAGTTTGGAATTCTGCAATTCTGAGTCTCCAGGTCTTTCTGGATCATTCTATTGGATTATCCAGTCTCTGCAGCAAAAGAGAATCAAATTAAGCTTGAAATTAAAAATCAGGCTGCTGGTTGAGTTCTCGGACTGAGAGGAGTATCCTGTGGACAGTGGTGAATTGTGCTTCAGTCCTGATGGCTTAGCTCACTCAGTTTTGGTCCTGCCTGTGTCACAACCTGAAAATAAGAGCATGCCTAGAAACACTACTGAAAATACACAGCCTGTGTGGAAACAGTTGATGCTCGGGTATCTCTGTCTGTAGGGGTGAATACTGATTTGCTGCCATCTAGAGCTGGGTGGTTCTTCTCCTTTCCTGTTTCCCCCCCCTTTCTCCCTTCTCTTTATTTTTTTCCTTCTTTCCTTCCCCCCCCTCTTTTGTCCCTTTTTTCCTTTTTTCTTTTTTATCTTCCCCCCTTTTTTGTTTTCTCCTTTTTTTTGTTTTTACCCTTTTTACTTTTCTCTTCCCTTTATTTTTCCCTTCCCCTTTTTTCATTAATTTACTTCCCTGTGTGCCTGGGAGCACACAGTGTGTGGATGTTCCTCCTTCCCCTTCACCAGGAGCATAGAAGAATCATGTTAATATTTAGGCCTGAGCATGGAAGAACATCTATGACATTTCACTAAGCATTAGCTCGCAGGACACAACTAAATATGCAGGTAATACAATTTTGTAGTAAATGTATCAGTGCATGATAAGGAATCAACTTTTCATGTTATTTCCTGACTTAAGAGTTATTTCAGGAAAGAGGTAAGGAAGATGCTCAGCCATAACTAAAACACCTCTTCAGTAACACAGCTTCCATCACACATCCAGACCACGGCCCCATACTGCTACTGTAAAGAAAATGAATTCTATCCCAGCCCAGATTTTTAATACTTCTATTATAAGATAGTTTTTTTATAATGACAAAAATACATCTTAAAAATACAAAAATGCAAACACTTTTCTATTTTTAAGATTCTTCCTGTATTGAAAACAATGGCATTGGATACTCTCCTTACTGATTTAAGCCATCATTTCCTTCTGTGAAAAAATCCCAGATTCTAAGAGCATACAAGTATGGCTTATCTTGCTGGTTTGGAACTAAGCTGAATACCTCTTCTTTAGGATAAGGGTTAGGGTTAGGTGCCATGTCTTCCCTTTCAGTGTTATATGGAACATTACCATTTTCTAAAGAGATTCTGTTTGCAAGGTAGATGATGTTTATGATAATCTGTATTCCATGGGCTTGTTATTTCTAAAGCTAAATGAAAATGATTACTACTATTATTATTATTACACTTTTTTCAGAAAAATGATATTTTTAAGAAAAAATATATTATATTTGTATTATAATATATCTGCATGTCTTAAAATGTAATATAAAAATTAGTCTTTTGGAGCCAGTTAGGTTAAATCAGATCTAACCTTATCCTGGAGGTCCCTTATTCAAGGGTTCTCAATAATTTT